CAATGTGACTGCCACTTACAGAGCTCCCAAACAATGATTATTCCTAAATTTCAATGCAATTACTAACATAATGGCATTTTTTTTTCATTAATTGTAGTGATCTCAGTAGAAACCTGATCCACCAGGTTCACAAGGAGGCGTTTACTACACTTGGTGCCCTAACTAATCTGTAAGTAGACCATTTTTGTGCAATAAACCAGCACCCTTGTATTAAATTACTGAAATGGTAAAACTTTCTCACTCAAAACTGCTGAGTGTTTGCCTTTCATATCACTTTTCATGTGTATAGATTCCCAAATACCACACAAAGTACACACAGAGCAATGAAAAGAGGCACTTTCCTCTCACCTGTGTGGAGGACAACTGATTTGCAGCATGGTGCTTGATGAGGGTTTGAAAGACAGGAACAATAGAGCAGATCCCTGTTCATATGAAAAATGCCATGGGATCTTCAGATTTACTATCTGTAACCATTTTAATATTCACCTTACAGAGACCTAAGTTTCAATGAGCTGACTTCATTTCCAGCTGAAGGATTGAAGGGACTAAACCAACTTAAGCTTGCAGGCAACTCTGAACTGAAAGAAGCATTGGTAGCAAAGGACTTCATGAAGCTCCGGTATGTTGGTAGATATTGTTCAGATGTACATTAAAGATAGCATTCAGAAAAACAAACAAATTGATAACTCAGATAAAGCCACAGCCTTCCTGTTAACTAAGTTCATTTGTGTCAGAGTCTTGTAATAAGTCCAGGGGGATCTTGATCATTCTTATTCCATAAAATGGCTTTCATTCATATGTTCCTCTTAGAATCCTTAACATTCTTGTCCTCCACCCTTTATATCTGAAATGGAATAGTGATAAAGATGGAGTTCTGGACACCTGTGAAGACCCATTGGCCGGTGACTGAGCATGTCCACTCCTGGGGCTCATCTAGACTTTGCTAGAGTGTCGAAAGAGGCTTTTGAAAGTGAAAGTAGTTTAGACATGGCTTTTTTGGCAACCTGCCCTTCCCCCCCCCCCTGTCGAGTGAGCCCTTAGAGTCGGGAAAATGGGCACAGGGTTATGATTTTACCAACCCAACCCTTTATACAAATGCTGATTATTCTTTGAGGCCCAGCACAGTAACAACAGTAGGCATTTAGGGCCAAATCCAAAAGTCTGTTTGTCAATGGAAACACTCTTGTTGGCTTTGGTGAAGTCTGGATCAAACCATTGTGTAGCTTTTCTCATTTTCAAAGAACTTTAGAAACATCATTCTTATGCCCCCCATGAATCAGGTAAGAATGGTTACAGATGGGGAAACTGAGACAAAGACAGTGTTGCTTGCTCAAGAAAAAGTCAAAGATGTCTAATATTCAATCCTAGGAGTTCCCAAGAACTGTAGTATAGCATTCAGTATTCTGACACTACCCCAAGATGGGCGTATAAATAATATCCAGGCACAATACAATTCTTGTAGGATTTCTATTATAGCCTTGGCATAGAATGACGTTGGTCTTGTGAGATTTTGTTGTCAGGCTAATTAGACAGATACCTATCTCAAAATATTGATTTTATGTATATTGCTTAATATTGATTAGCACAGGGGCATTCTGGACTGATAAGACTTGGCATATTTTGACATGACCTTTGTAAATGTCAAAATTTCCAGATGCAACAATCACCTGAATGGTGAGAAAATACCACAGTTTTACAGTACAGAGATCATGCTTCAGAAATTCAAGTGCAGCCTACCTAGTCAATCTTGTGGTAGTTCTTTAATTATGCACCCTTTTCTAAATCTTTTCAGTGCCCCATCTGCTACAAGTGTGGTTTACTGTACTATTCTCCTCCTCCCCTTAATTTTCTTTTTATCTTGAAAGAAAAATAACTTCTAATATTAGCAATATAATCTGTTTCATATCGATTGAGGACAGGCAAAACAGTCGGGTGCATTGTTAGCAATCAGGTTGGTCACATCATCTTACCTGAAAAATTCAGATAAAATTCCATGGGACCACTGCTTTTACGTAGAATTTTGTGGCAGCCAGTTAGTGCTGAACTATATATGTGGCAAGCTGCTGCAATCCTTTTCTGCAGTGTTGTTTGGCATGTTCCATTGCTTTCAGAAGGGAAGATACATACCAGGACATTCTGACTTATACTGTGAAGGATTAAATGTCAACAAAATGAACAATGAGAATGACAGATGCATGCTTAATAATGTAGTCATCTGGGAATTAGTTTGCTTGCACAATAGAGTTAGTCTCCAGCCAGCTTGATTAGTTTTCATTTCTGTACATACAGGTGATAACATGAATACTAGTGGTAACTTGCTTTGCATAGGAGAGATGAACCAAACCTAGAAGAGTATTTCTTTACCTTTTTCGGGCTTGGATAAAATAGGATCCTGATCTAAACCACTTCTAGTTTAGCTTTTGCTTTTGCAAAATCAAGCACACCTTTTTTTTTTTTTTTTTTTTTTGCCCCTCCATTTTAGAATTCTAAAGTAAAAGCTCTTTAGAAACTCTCATCACTGGTTCCAGTTAGAAGTTGGTCTTTACTAGTGACAAAATGATCCTCTTGAACAGCTTTAGCTTTGAAGTATGCCACTTTTAAAAATTAAGACTATAGATGCTGCCAGCTAATATTGCTCATTGCCTGTGTTTCAGGTCTTTGTCTGTTCCATATGCCTACCAGTGCTGTGCATTTTGGGGTTGTGACTCTTATTTGAACTCAAACATGGAAGATTCCAGCCACCAAGATCAGAGCGTGTTGACAGATCACGAGAGAGGTAAGTGCTCCATTCTAATAGGTGTTTTGCTGCACTGTGCAAGTTAGGCCAGACCAGGGAGATAATTATGTTCTCCAACAAAGAGGTGAACAAACTCACTTAGACATTCTACTATATGAGAACCTGCTAAAAACGTTGGTGCTGTGTGAACCAATTCCTATTCCAAGGATTAGTCTGCTTGGCTAACAGGCTTCAGAATAAATTTTTCATCTTCTGTTGTTCTAAATTGGCAGAGTCAGTTACCTTGCTGTTCACTTGGTCCTCAGAGTGCTCTCTAAGAAATACCCTGCTGGTCTCAGCATCTCCATCTCCCCAGAGACTAGGGCTGTCAATGTGTAGTCGACTACACAATTAACCGAAAAGCCTAGGCTTGTTGGGTATTCTTGTTGACTACATGCACAGAGGCAGCAAGGTGTGGGGGGGCGGGGAGTGGGAGCTGGTGCCTTTGAGGAGCTGGCATTAAGCAGGCTCCCTATGAGCACCGGATCCGCCTACCGCATTCCCCCCCACCCGCCCCTGCGCTGCTGCCTCTGATAGAGAGTCAGCAGTGCAGAGAGTGAGAGAGGCAGGCAGCAGCTGATATGCACAGTAAGCCAGCTCCACGGACCCCTCTGCCCCTCCTGCCTGCCTCCTACAGAGTCAGGGGCGGGGGCAGGCTGGTGCTGGGGGGAGCTGGCTTAAAAGCTGGTTTCCCCCCAGCACCAGCTCCCCACCCCCGTGCTACTGCCTCATCAGAGCTCCCCATAGACAGCTGCTCCAGCATCCCACAGACCAGCCTCTGTCTGCAGGGAACTCAGCTCTCCTGCAGACGGGTTGCTGTCGTGGAACAGCGGGGAGCTCAGACCCCAGTGGACTGGGGCTGCTGCCACCCTGCGCTGCTTCCTCCATCAGAGGCAGCAGGTGGGATGGCAGGCAGCGGGTCTGCATGGGGAGCTGGTTCCTCTGGCGGACCTGTTACTGCCCGTCACCCTGCATTGCTGCCTCTGATAAATAGGCAGCAGCATAGAGTAGCAGGAGGCTCCCCGGGAGCAGAGCCAATGTTAGGATTGAAAGTTTTATTCTTTTTATATTTCTTATCTTAGGTTTAGTAATGTAAGGTAATTATATAATCATATAGTAATGTAGCAATAATATAGCAATATAAGGCATATATATTAACATACATTTAATAAACCTAGTATAAATATAAAAAGAATACAACTTTCAATCCTAACACCAGAAGCACACTGGCTGCCAACCTTGCCCCCCAGGGACTATTGAACCGCTAAGATTTCATTCGGTTACACCACTTGACAGGGCTCGACAAATACACTCGCCCGCTCACCCGTGGCGAGTAGATTTTGCCAGCTGGCGAGTGTAGGGGTGGACTGGCCCGGTGGGCTGTTGTAACAGGCTGGCCGAAGCCCGCACTATGGGCGGCACGGCCCCATCCAATCCGCCAGCCAGCGGGGGAAA